AGGATCTAGCTTTAGTTTTCTACAAGTGATTAACCAATTGTGCCAGCACCATTTACTGAAGAGGCTGTCTTTCTTCCATTCTATTTTGTTAGCTCCCTTATCGAAGATTAGATGGCTATAGGTGTGTGGGTTCATTGCTGGGTCTTCAGTTCTATTCCATTGGTCCTGAGGTCTGTTCTTGTGCCAGTACCAAGCTGTTTTGGTAACTATGGCTTTGTAGTAGAGTTTGAAATTTGGTATTGATATTCCTCCAGTATTGTTCTTTCTGTTAAGGAACATTTTTGCTATTCGGGGTCTTTTATTGTTCCATATGAATTTTTGGATTGCCTCTTCTATTTCCTTGAAGAATGAAGTTTGAAGTTGAATTTGTAGATAGCCTTGGGAAGTATTGCCATTTTCATGATGTTGATCTTTCTAATCCAGGAGCATGGGAGGTTTTTACACTTCCTTCCTTAGTTCTCCCTTAATATCCTTTTTCAGGTTTTTAAAGTTTTGGATCCCTTTTGTTTGCATCTTGTCTTATTGCTCTAGCTAGACATTCTAATACTAAATTGAAGAGAAGTGGAGAGAGTGGACATCCTTGTCTCATCCCAGAATTTAGAGGAAATGGCTTTAGCTTACGCCATTAAGTGTAATGCTGGCTGTAGGATTGTCATACACAGCCTTTATTATATTGAAGAATGTTCCATGGATTCTTAGATTTTCCAGAGCTTTCATCATAAAGGGCTGAGAGTTTGTAAATTCAGTAATCGATATCTGAATTAAGTATGCACACCGTTAGAATAAATTAGACTCAGCCAGAAAACCATGCAGACTCCAGGTAGGAAGATCAAAGGAAAGGTTTATTGCTAGTAAGGAGACCAGGTGAGAGGAAGTGAGAAGTGTTGGCTATTATCTCAGGTGACTTTTTATAACCTCTGGGATTTGGAGCATCTCGCTGCCTTATAAGGTCATAGCTATCCCATCAGGGTGCTCTCTCAGGGAAAGGGGGTAGGGACTGATTATTTGTTGCCTTTACTTGGGCCTAGTGTTGCCTAGAAAAAGAGCATGTTAAGCCTCGAGGGAGGTGGCCTCTAGGCTAACATCCTCCACTCTTTGGTTTAATAATTGAATGAGGATGGCACCCGGTCATTTCTTCTGGAGCTGCTTCCTGCTGAGAAAGGGGCAAAGTGTTCAATGGGGGACATTCCATTGGGTCCTCACCTAGAAGCATCTGATTGACTGACTGATTGGTGAAAAGTCCCATCTTTCCCATAAGGATGTTCTTCATGCACCTGAATAAACAAGGCACAATTAGTATGAGGCGAAAATTGCAATTAAGGGACCCAAGATAGGCATGAGCCAGGGAGTAAGCCACCAGAATAGGTCCCATCCCCCTTCATTTTGCTGGATACTTTCCTCAAGTTTTCTGAGATGTTTGGCTTGTTCCTAGATGGCATAGCTGCTATCAGTTAGGTCACAGCAGGACATATTTTAATCTCCTCGCACCCTTGGTGGTGGAGTAACAGTAATCAAGGCAAGATGATTTTCGAGGATAGCAGTGCAATGGCAGAGGAGGTATAGATAATGCTTTTTTTCCATTATGCATACCAAATATATAGGCTCCTATCACCAGCCCTGGTATCCGAAGCAAGGAAAAGTGAGGGCAATATATAACTCTTATTCAGCTATTCACTTGTTGAGGCTGGAAGAGCTCCTTGTAGGGTGGTAAAACATGTAGATTGCTTAGGCAGCATTGGGAGCTATGAAGCAGATTGGCAGGAATATAATTAAGAGTATAACTCTCATAGGTTAAAAAAAGCCATTGTTTCTATCTACAAATTTAATGCAATACCTATGAATATCCCAACGTCATTCTTCAAGGAAATAGAAGAGGCAATCCAAAATTTCATATGGAATAATAAAAGACCCCGAATAGCAAAAATGTTCCTTAACAGAAAGAACAGTGCTGGAGGAATATCAATACCAAATATCAAATTCTACTACAAAGCCATAGTAATCAAAACAGCTTGGTACTGGCACAAGAACAGACCTCAGGACCAATGGAATAGAATTGAAAACCCAGAAATGAACCTATAGACCTAGAGCCACCTAATCTTTGATAAGGGAGCTAAAACAATAGAATGGAAGAAAGACAGCCTCTTCAGTAAATGGTGCTGACACAATTGGTTAA